TTTGATATGTGAGAAGAGAAAGAAGTGGGAAAGTTTGATTTTTTTGATTATGAAAGAGAAATAAGGAGGGAAACTTTTGAGTTTTCAACTTTTTGTAGAAGAAAAGAAGAGTAGGGGTGGAAAACGGGACGGGAACGGGTACCCATCCCATTTAAAACGGGTACCCATTCCCATTTGGAGGGGATAATCCATCCCATATCCCAAACCCGTACGGGAAACGGGTACCCATTACCCGTACGGGACGGATAACGGGTACCCAAACTACCCGTATATACCCGTTGAAAAGTAACAAAATTATATAAACTTAAAAAATTTGCACCATGAAACTAACTAAATCAGTCGCCACCTGCAGCAAGAAGAGATGTTGCCGCCAACTGCAGAAAGAAATGATGCTGCCACCATCAAAATATGCACACCACTTATATTAAACAAAGACCACTAGATAAGAGGATCATCTCCTCTTCCCTCTGATAATAAACCCACAGACAGTAGATCATTTAACTTAACAGAGAAAAAAAGTCAAAAGAGGATAATCTTCATTAACAATAAGCTCGTTTTATTAACTTGAAATATTAGGGTTAATGGCTATGTATTGGGTATAACGGGTACCCATACTACCCAAACGGGTATTAGCGGGTAACCCGCGGGTACCCAATGTTTAAATTTTCAATCCCAAGTCCCATCCCGTAATATATATTACGGGTATTTGGATACCCGTAACCCTCAAAAAACGGGACGGGTATGGGTATATCCAAATACCCGTTTCCCGTTGGCCACCCCTAAAGAAGAGGGTAATTTGGTTCTTTCAATTTTATAGAAGAGAAAGAGGAGGGAAAATTGAGTTTTCTAATGTATGGAAGTAGAAAGAATGAGGGAAATTTTAGTATTTTTGTGAAAAGAAAGAAGGAAACAAATTTGGTGTTTTCAATTTTTTGTTTTTTCATAATTTTAGCTTTTGAAATATGAATCTTTAACTTTTATATGGAGGGCATGACTAGTTAAAATTATTCTTATATGCTTTGAAGGCTAATATATATATGTATGTATGTAATTGTTTATGGGCTAATAAATAAATTAACAATTAGTTACAACAATTTATACTAAACTTGATAAGTAATCTTTGACGGTTCGTTGTTTAGGATATAAAGTATATGGTTAGGGTATAGGGTATAAGGTACATATGGTTTAGGGTGTATATGGTTAGGGTATAAGATATTGATGGTTTTGACAGTTCTAAGTTTTTTATTAACATATGTTCACTTGAAGTCATTTGAAGTCTTTAACGGCAGGAGATCCCTTTTTAATTTATGTTAATGGTACGTGGTTAGGGTACAAGGTATGTGGTGTAAAGTATATGATATATGGTTAGGGTATAACAATTAGCAAATATCACTTTTTATCTATGTTTTGAAAATCAAAGTATGAATTTCACTTTTAAATTAACTATACTAGCAAAATCATAACTCAATCACATATGGTTAGGGTATAGGGTATAGGTTATGTGGTTAGTGTATAATGTATTGATGGTTTAGGGTATAGTAGGGCTGGCTATTTGGACCGGGACCGGATGAAAAACCGGAAACCGGACCGTATAACCCGGACCGGGACCGGATAGTAAACAATCCAATCCAATCTTTGGGCTTAGATTTGAGGTAAAAAACCGGATAAAGACCGGATAAGAGAGCTCAACACCCAAAACTTAAGGGTAATTTGCATAAACAGTCACAAACCTTTGCACTTAGTACAAACTTAACCAACTCCTCATCCTTTTAGGCCTTAGGCCACTCAAATTCCCACAATCTCAATATAAAATCAAGATCGAATTGGGACCGGACCGGGTCAAGACCGGACCGGATCAAGACCGGACTGTATCCAATCCAATCTTCGGTCCTTATATTTTCAAAAAAACCGGACTGGACCGGATCAATTTGGGCCAATTTAACCGGACCGGACCGTATAGCCACCCCTAGGGTATACAATCAACAACATATACTAACTTAATATTGTTGATTGAGGGTAAGGCTAAGTGTATAGGATATATGCTATTGAGTAAGTTATGATTGAAGTCACAATAATTTTACTAAATTTGATAGCTAATCTTTAATGGTTCAATTTTTAGGATAATTTGAACAATTTTACAAATAACTCGTTTGGCAACAGTTTACTGAAGTTATTTGGGCAACGAGTTATTTCGAAATAACTCCTTTTATCACTATGCTTTTGCCAAATACCACATGCCAAATACCATATTTGCATGGTTATACTAAACGAGATACTTTAATCCAATTACTACTGAATTAATACTAAAATATCAAATAAACAATTAATGTTATCTTTTGGTTGCAAATATTGATATCACCATTACTATTAGCTATAATACTTTACCAATTATGATTAATTACATAACAAGTTTGCAAGTCATACAAATTGATTTAACATTTTGACTAGTTTTTTCAAAAAAATAAAGTATATATATACGAGGTAGAAATAAATTGGTTAAAAAGTTGAGAAAATATTTTAAATTAGTGTAATAAAATGTGTAAGTTGGTAATGAGTAATGAGTTAAGTTACTTGATGCGCTGGCCCGAAAAACCCGAAACCCGATCCGCCCGACCCAATGAACCCGCAACTCGATTTGCCCGCAACCCGATTGAACCCGAACCCGATGAACCCGCAACCCGACTAACCTGCAACCCGTTTGAGCCCGAACCCGATTGAACCCAGCCCGAACCCGCCCGATTGACACCTATAATTTTGAGTGACCAAACTTGAACGTTTTTTTAATCTCAGTGACCAACCATCCAATTAACTTTTTTTTTTTACATGAGTGTATGGACGCTTCTGGTTGTATTTGACCTCTTTTTGAAATGAAGCTAGTTTCTCCATTCCGAATTTTGCATATTGGAAAATTGATGCGCCCTTTGTGCGGTGGAACAAGACCAGGTGGCTGCTATTGGAATTAGACTGTGCAAGCATTTATACAGTTCATTAAAACAAATTGTGCCAGTTAATTAGTTTAGAGTTGAGAGAAAGGATTAGCGATTTGAGATGAGATCATGAGAAGAACATAATTGGGAATTAGAAAAAGATTTGGAAAAGACGAGAATAGGAGAGGGATAAACTGAATAGGTTTTGATTATTGATTTCTGGTTGATTTCTCATGTATTGCTTAAAGTACATTTATATAGGGAATAAACACGAAATTCTATTAATAAATATAATGCTACTCGGCCCGTAATTAGCCGCTCATGCCTAATAATAATAATAGTACTAATAGAAACTATATGTTTCTAACCAAACTAAATGAATCGTGAATTCAGCATTATATTCAAAATTTAGAAATAAACTAATTTAAATTCTCAAATCATGTCTGGAATATGTTTAGAATTTAACTAAATTAAAATTTTCCAACTACGTCCTTAGTATTTTAAGCAGAAACATCATTGCTATTACTCATTAAAAATCTATCTTCTAAAAATCCAATTGTCAATATTATCATCCAACCAACAAAGCGAAAAGCGAAAGTATTAAAAATAGTAAATTATTTGAAGATCTATCCTCTAAAAACCTTAAGTGCAACCAATTTTTCTCTCGAGTCAAGAGAGTTTGATCTCGTCATCACAATCACTAATTATCAAACAAGAATTGGTTATATATGGAAAAGAGGCGTTGGATTTGGCCGATTGATTTTATTAAATCTTTTGGTAATTGGTCAAATTGGCTTTTGTAATCAATCGGACCAAACCGATATTGGTGGTTGGAGTGAACCAACCGATCCAACTACCATGGGTTGAACAGATGCAATGGTTAATTATGTTAAATGAACTAATGAGTAGGTTGGGGTTTAACCACCCACCCGACGGGTCACATCCCTTCACATACACCCGTTCATTTCTTATAAATAGCACCAACCCCCTATGTTTTCATAAGTGAGTTTTCCCAAAATGATTTTCGGTCGAAAGAAAGAAAATATACGCCTTCTTCATTTCATTGTGTCCTCTCTACAAATACATAAAAGAAAACAGAGTTGTGTGACTTCTCAATGTTCATTGCTTTCGTTGGTTTTTGGAGTTTCCAATACCGATACACCAGACATTATTAAAAAAAAAGTTTCGGTACACCAGAAATGTACGTTTGTTATATATCCTGGGAGGAATAGTTTCATAAACTTGGGTACCATAGAGGTGAACTAAATTCTTTAAGGAGAAATAGTATAGTCTATTTGCTCGGACGGTGTTTATGCATGAGTCTTGATTTCTTCTCTTTAACTTTATCTTTATGTTGATTTCTATATATGACTTGTGTTGCAAGAATCATGGTATACGTTAAATTTTCCATAACAACCTTTCAACAGGTTGTCGATGATGTGCAAGGTCTCAAGCTTTATGTGGAGGTTGATTTCCGGAGGGATGAGTCCTTCAGAGATTATAGGGAAACGAGAAGGTGGCGAGCAACCAAGCAATTGTTGTACCGCTTCTCTAAAATCTCTCGTATTCAACAATAACTAGAGGTGGTAATTCTCAATTCAATCCACCAATCCAATCCATCCACTTAAATATAAAAGTAATCCAATTGGGTTGGTGGATTCATGGATTGATCCATGGATCCAAATGGCAAACTACAATTTAGTACCTATATTTTTATATTTCACATTTTGGTACTCAAAATTTTATTTTTTATACGGAAAAATATCATTGAAACATTACATTTTGGTACCTAAAATTATTCATTATGACATTTTAGTACCTAAAACTTTTCAAAATTAACATTTTGGTCCAAGACTTGGATTCCATTTGGATCCACCAATCCATATAATCCAATCCACTAAACCATCAATCCATTTGATCCATGGATCTACCAATCCAATCCATCAATCTATGAATCTACCACTAACTTTTTCGGTATAACTTTCTGATGATTTCAGATCATTGCACCAATGTGAAAAGTCAAAACAGCATACGAGTTCGACTTTCAACCAAGGTCCTTGAGTTATTTTGGATATGCGAGCAATGAATATGGGCCAGTATAACCCATTTAATGGATATCTCCAATCCAGTCTAGCTGAGCGGCCCATCGGGAATGTTCGGCCGCGGCCAGTACGGTAACTAAAGAGAAAAAGAAAGAAGGGCAGACGCAGGAGCAGGAAAAGAAAAAGAAAAAGAAAGAAGGGCAGATGCAGGAGCAGGAAAGTGAACGGGAATCGAAACGAGAGCTCCGATCTGCATAACAGAAATATTCACAACACCAATCATGCCTACCGGCTTTGTGTTCTACTCTGGTATGTGCTCTGATTTCTATGGTTTTCGTACGAATCAAGTTAGCCCTTTGGTCGAAATTGATGGTTTTGTTTATTTCTGTTTCTTTCCACCTTAGTTCTTTATTTTCGTATTATATGGTTTAGATTTCATTCTGATTGTGCAATCCATTTCCCCACGCCCCTTCTCAGGATCGTTTTCCATTTCGTTTGATTCTGAGCGAGGATTTTCAAGCAACCCGACCCCTCCTAAACCAGCAATTCGGATCGGTAATCAAAGTCGATTCCTTTCTGGCTAGCTGGAATTCTCTCTCTCTGCCTTCCTTCTAAACACAACACTAATCCTACATGGCTTTGTGGTTGTTTGGCTTGCGGCGGTGGTAGGTATGGTGGCTTTTGAAGAAACTGTCATGAATTATCTTACTGACTATGGAGTTAGTAATATCAAAAGTGTTAAGCTTGTTGAGCCCAAATTCCCCAAGAACTCGTATGCAAGGCAATGCAAAATCTGCTAGAGCTTTTTGCAGAGGTATGTTTGATTCTCTCATATATATATATATATATATGACAGTGAGTCAATATGTGCCCTGCTGAATGCATTTCGTAAACCGTACTGTATATGCAGCGTATGGTCGAGGAGAATGTATTTGGTGCTCAAAGCTACCGCGAGGCTCTGCTGAAGTATTGTGGAGTTGATATTGAGTACTAGTCATTTTAATTACTAATCATAATCATGTATTTATGCATTGCCAATCAAACGTGTTATATGCCCATAATAGAGCACCCAATGAATGTAATCTTTCTTGTAACTATTTGGCTAGTGATGCAGTTTGATGCTATTATATCGTCTACTACCTTCCTGGGCCTTATGTCAATGATGATGGTAAATATATTGTGTACAACAATCGTAAAATGTGCCATCAATAGGAAAACATGAGGAGAAACATGTTCTTGCCACCTCTCTCAATTGTTTCTTGACGGTCACTGCTACCCTTTGATATTTGCTTTAGATACAGTCATACAAAAACAATAAACCCAGGAAAAGCTCTAGGATAATGGTTGCAATTGAAACGTGATAATCACATCGACTATGTCCTTCTTGTACGGCCACTTGGTCCCAACTGATATTGAGAAGATCTCCAATCCACACAGGCGTTTAAATTTGTCAATTGGTTTTGGATCTGATTATCCTTTCTCGCCATTCACAAGCACCAGCACTCGCGACTCTGCATATTGAACCTTCGTACTGCTGTTCAAGAGTTAGCTCCTCCATGAATTTCAAGTGATTTGGTCCTGTGTCGGGTTTCAGCAGTCATCTTGAACCAGCAAAGAAACTGAAAGTCAACTATAGACTGACAATAATGACATGAAATGGAAAGTAATTGACAAAAGCATTATGCTTATCAATGTTACAATAACTTTTTTATTCTTTTCAGATTTAGCGAGAGAAAGATGGCCTACATCAGCAGTCTGTATTACCTACAAGAAATCAGGCTTCTCTTTTGAAGTTCAATCTAGAGTTCAAAAATATAATGCCCTGTCACAAGGTTTTTCTTATACAAGGGTGAGGAGATATTATTAGGGTAAAGGAAAGAGAGAACAATGATTACAAGAATTTATATGAGTTGAAACAGAGGGATAAAAGAAGGTTAAGTACAGTCACTACCTAAGAGAAAATGAACAAAATCAGCCACCTCATTGGATTGACCTGATGCACAAAACAAAGGCAGCAACCTTTGCAAGGCAAAGTAGCAGGACAACACAATTCAACAGGCAGTTGGCAGCCACACGGGCACATTTCAGCAGCTTAAAATCTGCAGCCGCATCCCGACACATTTCAATGGCTTTAAGAGTAAGGGCAAACCAACTACACAATGGATAACCACTCTATTTCACAATGTCTGCTAATTAAGCCACCCGCAGATACCAAATTCAGAAGCAGCCTACAAACTTTTTGGAAGATCATCTGCCAAGGCTTTGTCTCATAGCGAAAGCATCTTGCATTCCGCTCTTTCCATATTTCCCACGTGAAAGCATGATGGATACACTTCAAAAAATAACATTTCCATGAATCTTGATCTTGGTGAGGCCAGTTTTTAATAATGACGACAATGCTGCCCAGAAAAGGTCTTATGGCTTCAACCATGTTCAGTAGTAAGTACCAAATCTGACTGTTGTAACTGCTTGCCACAAGGTTGAGTGTCATGAACATCACTGAGCACTAGATAAGAAACGAAGCTCATGCTAAGAGCACTAGCTTGTTAGTCAAGTATCAACAATGAGACTCACAGGAACTGAGCGATGTATCAGCGTCCGTGTATTTACGAGAATTTCTAGACCAAAAGAGCTGAGAGATGACACTTAAGCAAAAGAAAGGTTTGTTGGGCCTGGCCTGATGACATCTTCAAATGACCACGTGAGCCCACTCAAGCGCATAAGCCAAACGATGTCGTCAAAGCCATGGAGAGGGCGTTCTCACCTTCATCCTTCAGCATAATCGAAGAAAACGCAAAAGAAGGAAACTCCCTCTACTATCCAGGTCTCGATGTTCGACAACAAAGGCTCCAAACGGTAACACCATTGATGAAGGAAGAGGCAAACTGAAGGAAGAAGATCTATTTAAGGAGCGGCGCATGAAGAAGATTGGCAACAGTTTCCTCTGGCTCAGTTAGAACAGGTCTGTTCTCTGGGAGCCTTTGGTCTGGGTTCGGCTGTGAAGTGTCTGGATAGCTGAGTTGGAGCTGTAGCTAGGAACTCAGTCTATCTGGGCATGGATGATTCTTCTTCTTGCTCTCTTACTTATTAGTCTCTGTATCGACTCCTGTATTGGATTCATCCAATTGATTGAGTCCGATTCATTTTCTTTTAAATTTCGAACAATTGAATAAACCCTAGGTGTTCCCCTTTTCATCTCTGTGTGTTCTTAGAAAATGAATTGATTGTCATAGCGATGTAACAATTGGTATCAGAGCCTCCTTCTCAAGAGAACTCAAAGTTGCTGAGAAGGAGATCCTCGGTTCACTATGACTTCAACTTCATTCCCTAATAGCTCAAATCCCCCTTGGTTTTCTGGAACAAATTATTCTGTTTGGAAAAAGAGAATGAGACTGTTCCTCCGAGGAATCGATTGCGAGTTGTGGGCAATTGTCCGAAATGGACCAATTGACATGAAAGAAGATGATGAGGAGGAATGGTCAAATGCACAGAAAAAAAGTGCTCAATTAGACTCTAGGGCCATGCATATTTTACTTTCTGCCATCTCTGATGATGAAGGGGAAAGAGTTAACAAATGTGAATCTGCAAAAGAAATATGGTCAATCCTAGAAACTACTCATGAAGGTACATCAGAGGTAAAAGAAACTAGAATTGATTTACTAATAAAGGAATATGAAACCTTTGACATGTTGCCTGGAGAATCAATCTCAGAAATGGATAAAAGATTCTCCACTTTAATCAATAGACTCAAAGGTCTAGGGAAAGAATTCTCGAGTAAAGAACTGGTTAGAAAAGTACTCAGGTCACTTCCTCTTGAATGGATGGCTAAAAGAACTGCCATAGAGGAAGCCAAGGACCTCAATGTACTGTCTCTTGAGAACCTTATTGGATCTCTCCTTAGTCATGAAGAAGTTCTGAAGCAAATGAACTCTCTTCATGACAAGAAGAATAAGTCGATTGCTTTCAATACTGTTTGCTCAGATCAAGATGAAAGATTAGATGATGAATTTGAAAATGAACTAGCATTAACTAGCAAAAAGCTGCAGAGAATGATGAAATTTAAGCATGACCAAAACTTTAGAAAGAACAACTATAATAATAGATCCTACCCTGGATCCACTGGGAACAGAAATAATCATCAAGCTAGACCCTCTGGACCTAACTCTGGTGGATCAAATGACAGTAATTCCTTTGGATCCACCAGGTCAGAATCAAGTCCTAAAGATCACAAAAATCCTAGTAATAAAGCTGACTCAACCATCTGTTTTAAATGTGGAAAAACAGGACATGTGAGAGCCAATTGTCCTCTCAACAAGAAGAAAGAAAAGGCAATGACTGCCTCCTGGAGCGACTACAGCTCAGAGGAAGAATCAGAAGTGGTTGCCTACATGGGGTTAGAGTCCAACTTGGAAAATGAACCTGAAGAAAGCCAGAATAAGATGGGAGCTAATATCTGGTATCTAGACTCAGGATGCTCTCATCACATGACTGGCAATAAGGAACTGTTCTCTTATCTTAATCCTAAAAAGGGAGGTAAAGTGTTTTATGGAAATAATAACTGTGCCTCTGTTATAGGCAAAGGCACTATTAGCAGTAATCCATCACTAATAATTGAAGATGTTCTTTTTGTGGAAGGTCTGAAACATAACCTTCTTTCAATCAGTCAAATCTGTGGTTCAACCTATCGAGTCATATTTGACCCTGTCTGCTGCACAATTGAAAGAATCTCTGATAACTCAGTAATTTTTAAAGGTAAAAAGGTCAACAATGTTTACACTGTTGATCTTGCTACCCTTGACCTGTCTGAAAATGTCTGTTTAAGCACCATATCTGACTCTACTGTTAGCTGGCACAGAAAGCTTGGTCACTCTAGTATATCAAGACTAGCTAAACTATCTAAATTAAATTTAGTCAGAGGCTTGCCTGTCATTAAATCAACTGATGGTTTTACCTGTGAAGCCTGCATTCTTGGAAAACAGTGTAAGAAGTCATTTAAAAGCAAACCCAATATTACCTCAAAATCTGTGTTTGAATTACTGCACATGGATCTATTTGGTCCCACCAATGTGCAAAGCCTTGGTGGAAAATCCTATGTTCTTGTTATTGTTGATGACTTTTCCAGATTTACCTGGGTGCACTTTCTAGCCTCTAAGGATGAAGCCTTTCCCAAATTCAAAGCCTTCATAAAACTTATACTTAATCAATATGAAACTCGTGTGAAATCAATTAGAAGTGACAATGGAGGTGAATTCATTAATGTTGAATTTAGTACCCTGTGTGATGAATTAGGAATTCTCCACACCTTATCTGCTCCTAGAACCCCCAGCAAAACGGTGTGGTGGAAAGGAAGAATAGATCTTTAGTTGAGACAGCTAGAACCATGTTACTAGAATTTGAGTGTCCTAAATACCTATGGGGAGAAGCTGTTAACACAGCATGCTACATTTTAAATAGGACCACCATTAATAAGACTGTAAACAAAACCCCTTATGAAGTACTAAAGGGCAAACCACCTAAGCTCTCCTACCTGCATCCTTTTGGCACTAAATGTTTCATTCTGAATACAAGAGACACCCTTGGAAAGTTTGACGCTAAGTCTGATATTGGCATCTTTCTTGGGTACTCGTCCAAAGGACAGGCCTATAGGGTATTTAACAAAAGAACCAAAAAGGTTGAGGAGTCTGTGCATGTTCAATTTGACACATCTCCTCACAGTCTCCCCGTGGAGTCTGACATCAACAACTATGATTTTCTTCCACTAATTCCCTGTTCTGAGAAAGATAGTGCAGGGATTGATGAAAGTCAAGGTGCAGAGAACTCAAATTCTCCAGCTTCATCGCCTGAATCCAACTCAGAGTCATCAAGTGGATCACTCAGTAAGAATCATGAGGCTCCAGCTCATATCAGAAAGAGACACCCCTCTTCTCAGATTATTGGTAATCTCTTTGATCCCATACACACTCGAGGTAAGTATGTACCAGGTCAGTACTCATTCGTCTCTCTCTTTGAACCTAAGAACTTCAAGGAAGCACTTCTAGATGAGGAATGGCTTCTTGCTATGCAAGAAGAGCTATCTCACTTCATTAGACTTAAAGTATGGGAGCTAGTACCTAGACCTCTAGGAGTGTCTGTCATAGGAACTAAATGGATATTTAGAAACAAATCCGATGAACTTGGTTTTATAATTAAAAACAAGGCTCGCCTTGTTGCACAAGGATATAGTCAGGAGGAGGGTATAGATTATGATGAGACATTTGCTCCTG